GGTTTTTTGAGATTTGCGATTGCGTGCGCTTCGGTGTCACTGGGAAGCCAACGGCTGAAGGGTTCATTGATAATCTGAGGGTCATCGCAGATTATACCTTCATGTTTCAAGTGACTAATATTGCGATCTTCGATGTTTTTGAGGCATTTTCGCGAAATCTTGGAAAGTTCATGAGTTTTAGCGATTTCCACAACTGCTTTATTTTCCTCAAGTTGTGCCGTCATCCTGTTTCTCGCCTCAAGCAGTCCAAGAGTTTCATGCATGTGATATAGTGCATTAAATTCTTTAATTAAATAGAATTTCCTCCGTATTTTTCTTAGTTCCATATACATAGAGTCGGTACCTTTGGAGCAGGTTATAACCGTGCGATTGTATCCGTTGCCAAACTGACAGCCTCAAAAGACATCCACTATTGCTTCTAAGTTATCAGTGGTGAGACACCCTCGGTTCAGAACTTTTAAGAGCACTGATAGGAATTCTCAGTCAATATTCTTATAGTCCCTACATCTTTAGTATACTGGGGAATTTTGAGGTGTGTATTTGGTCGTTGTTTGAAGAGAAAGAGTGCAATACAACATGTCGTAACTAATGTATCGGGATCGGCCCTATTTGGTGACTGAGGATTAAGTCAGGAGTATTGTCATGCCATGTGAGAAGGCGCACTCACTACTTCCACCCGCCCACATCTATATCTTCCAGAAGCTATTCGTGGACTCTAAGTTTTGCGCTGGTGTCCGAATTCACCTCAGGAAGTCTGAAATCGCCACAGACTTCTTTGTTGTTGGATTCCATTGTAGCTACATCCCCTAAGAATTCTTCTATGGCTTAATAGTGGTTTCGGAGCTCTGTGTGTACATCCCCTGAGAATTTGTTTTCATTTGTGTGGATGGCTATCCACTCAGATTCTGGAAATATTGAATTTAATGGATTTAAAGGCATACGTTATGTACCCACCTCCTACTCCTTCTTAAACTCTGTCACTCCTGTAAATGTCGTGGTTATCGGTTTCCAGCTTTTTACCTCGTATATCGGTATTTAGCCAGGTTTTAGTTGTCAAGATTAATGCTGGCTGTTTTATGTTTACCTGGCAGTGGGGCGAAGTTCTTTTTTGAAGGGAGACAAAACGTTCGGAAGAATAATTATTAGAAAGCCAGAGTTGTCCGAGGAATACTTAATACGATAACGTGACCATCTCGAACTCTTGGCTGCCTATTTTGTGTACGGAAGACTTTTGAGACGATACAGGAGCGAATTCTGTACTATTTATCGAATGAGTTGTACGGTAGGAGGTCATACTGTTCGCTGCAAATGAAAACGATCACCTAGTATATTTAGATTTTTAGCAACAAAAGGAGGGCACTTGGAATCATTTCCAGGTGCCACTTGTCTTGTCTTGCTATTCATGTTTAAGATTTCCTTGGGGATTCTACCTTCTAGGTCTCTCACAGCTACATATTTACTGATTTTTATCACGCGTGTACTTAGAATAGTTGTGACCCAATCCACATCCGTTATGTTGATGAAAGTTAACACATCTAATCCGAGAGTTCGGATGCAGATATTCCTTATGTGATATCCAACGGTGCTAATTTACTCAGCTATATGTTCCTACAATTCCCTTTATGTCCTCTTGCGAAGCTACGCATACTGCTAGACATCTTACATTCTAAGTTATTATGGAGGCTTTGAGTCTCACTGTCCCGGTAATTTAGTTAGGTGTCCACTGATTACCCGCTAACTCGTGATTTTGTGTGCGTAGAAATGCATTTATCACTAGCCTTTGCCTCAGCAGATCGCTCTTACTTCGGTTATTATTCCTAGCTGGGAAGAGTGCACTTTTTCTTACATGCTTCGCCTCCTTCCTAGAACCTTCTCTTATTTTCTATGTTTGTATGCTTCCTGTTAGGCCTATACAGAAGGTGTGTGGACGCCAGGAGTGAAAAAGATTCGAAGCTTTCTTCAGTTGCTGCTGTGAAACTCCTTGGCATGGCTCTACCTGGACCGTGGTCTACCAGTAGCTGCTAGCTATACGTAGTGGGCGCATCTTTATCTACTTTATGTCCAGGATCAGCAGATTCCCAAGGGGTACTCCCATGTGCTTTCAGATTCCTACAAGTGGAACTGCACCTTTTAGGCCTCTGCTATCATATCGCCGAGTGTGAATAATAGTGGTGACTGACGATAATGAAAGCTATGTTGATTTTCTAGTCGATTATTCTCTGTGTCGAAGCCAGTGAATTCCAGAAGACTCACACAGCAAGGGGGGAAACGTGTATTTCCAAAACAAGCAAGGGACAAAATAACTGAGGGCAGGAAAATATGTGGCATATATTGATCCTGTAAAAATGCCTGAAAAAGAATCTCTAACAACATACTAGATTCCGGTTGGTTAACGCCCACTATGTGATAAAATGTAAGTAATTGTTATCCAGTCGACAAACCAATGAGACAAACTGTGGACGCATCACTTTTACTAGGCTTTTGTGTCATTTGTTCACTTAATCTTACGCTCCTGTCGCCCCGTGCTCCATTGCCTTTCGATACCTTAGCACTGACATTGGACTTCTTATGGGATATGTACGTGAACGCACCCGAGATGTTCTTGGCCACTTGTCTCTGGTTAGGTCTTTTACTTGGGACTATTTTGACGTGCTCAAATTTTGTAGAAGTAACCAAACATTTCCCAAACTATTAGGATATTATGTATCCGGAACGGTAGAGTATGGGACAGGTGTGCCTTGGGTCTTTTTGTTTAGCTGGATGCACTGACAAGGTGAACTTGAGACGTTTAAAGCCTTCAGAAAGGAGTGCTGAACAAACTTCATGGGCTCCTTGTCTGGTTTAGCACACACCTTAGATACTTGTACTTAATCAACTACAGTCGGCAGAAAATCACTGGCGTTCCACAACTGCTTCGCACTTTCCAATTGAGTATGAATTATTTTAGATTTCATATCAAGGAGTTTTGAAATTGTAAGACCTCTAGTTCTTTTCTGATATGCAAGACAGTTTCAGGTGTGCGGTCAAGTAGATCTTATTTCACCATGGCGAATTCATGTTGTTATTGATTTGACTAAGTTGTAAAGCTCTACCTTTTCTGACGGAGCATTTTCCACCCGTAATAAAGTAGTCGGCATTATTTTCAATCCATTTAAATTAGATGAACTACCGATAGTAACTGATTAACGGGATGGTGATGAGTTACTAGAAGAACTTATGCTATCTTCTTACGGACGCGGTTTCCGGAGTTTGGCCCACTTTTATGAGGGATCATGAGAGCGAATATCAGGGAAGACGCGTGCAAAATTGTCGCTAAATTCGAACGCACCGAGCGATACCTGACCAACAACAAGATCTAGTCTCCACCAACGGAAGAAACAGAAAAAATCACTTTCTTCACATGTCTCATTAGTTATCATCGTTTCAGCCGCAAGTGGGGCAATTGAAATGGGAATGGGAAGAGCGGTACAGGTGTTCCTTACCTTATAATCAATTTGAAGACTCACAACACTTCCTGCGAGGGACAGGTTCGTAATTTTAACACTAATGTAATCTATATGATTCAGAGTCTTGCCCCATTTATCGCCAAAAGCACTTCCAACAGACTGCTGTAGCTTGCTGTCAATAGACCCATTATCTCTGTACTAAAGGTTAGACGATCGGCCAGGAAATAGAAATGGATGGAGCATACGCTGAAAAGAACTTCGAATCACATCATGTATCATTCAGGCTTTAGACTGGATCTCGACTGAGAAGTGGTCAGTCGGCGGCCAGTCCAATTTTGAATTGTAGAAAATCATGTGGGGAGGAATTAAATTTGTGAGCAGACGTGTAACCACCGTTGAAAGACGACAAGGAAAAAAGCGCGGTTAATATGCGCTGGTGAAGCCCCTAGTTGTGCCTGGAACGCAAGGCATGAGTAATGGAAATAGTGCATCAGATTTTCACAAACGGCATTGTTTTCCAACATGAGCTGTAAACCAAACATTTGACCACGGATTAAGAGTCAAGTGGGTAGATTTTAACTGGTACGTGCTGTTCCAGCTGGATAAAACTTTTTGCCTTAAAATATCAGCTCACTGATCATGTGGAATAACCATATAATTAGCCGAGCTTTCTAGTCATATTACCATTTCTCTGGGGGGGGGGATGAACCTCTGTCTGTCTACTCAGTATTCTCTCTTTCTCAGTGTGGGAACAGTAGCTGAGTGATCAGTCGTATATTATTGTACGTTTTCTGTTAGTAGAATGAAACCGAATTCACTAATACCAAAGTCACCGCATAAGGACTCTAGGAAATTATGAGCTCCCATTGAGGTTTATTCAAAACTTTAGTGTGAAAATACTTCATAAATTACATTTGGCGTAGGTCGAGCCTGGTTTGGAATACTGGGCACATTTTCATAATTAAGCATCAACTTGGTCCATTACGCCGACTTAATATTCAAGTGGTGAAGTAATCGTCCATTAGCATAAGGAAAAGGCGAACAACTTAAGTGAGTTTCCACCTTTCGAGATGCTCTTATATCGCTTTGCAAGTTATTCAGAAGAATAACCCCGACTTAGCGTGCCATCTGTAGGCGAATTTATGTCAGAGAATCGAATCACTGAGTGATGTAGGCTTACTAAAAGATTATTGCTGAGAAATGTATCTTGGAGCTCAGGAAATATAAGGTCCCTCGTAGTGGTTCATGTAGCAACCACTTTCCCAAACAAATATTTTCTACTGTTTCAAACTGTCCATGAAACATTTTTCAAAATAATGGTTGCTGAACAAAGAGTATTCTTTCCGACAACTTCATCATCTGGTTCTACAGTTATAAACACATTATAGTGAGTGAATTAGTGTTGTTAACAACATTAATGCTTAAGTAAAATCGAATCAATAATAATTTCAATGGTTTACATTTCAGTAGCACCAACATAACAGTGCGCTGAATATCAGGGGAATTTAGGGAAATAATAGTATGAATTCACGAATTTATAGTTTATTTTCTTCACTTAACTATATGGCAGATATACATTTGCAAGATTAGATGGGATACTTAGCGCGAGTTTAGTAAGTGCGCTACTTCTGCAATGATGATTCGCTCTGCCTCATTCGTTACAAATAATCTATGGAGAGGTAAGACTGTATAATTTTCTGATTTGTCTGAAGCACACTCAAAACTCATTACAAGTCTGTACACGAAACAATGCGCCAATCACTCTACTAATCCAGAATATGCAAATAAAACTGAACCATATGAAGTTTTTAAGTCGCGTTTCGTCAACGCATTCGATGATCCGAAGATTGACGGTTGGTGGGCTCGAACATGGATGCAAAGACTTCACCTTGAAGATGCTGTGCCACCCCCAGAAGTTGTGATAAGTGGTCTCAAAGCATGCAGACGCCTAAATGACATCGCACTTGCTATTAGGTTCATGGAAGCCGTTAAGGTATGCTACTTTCTTATCATATTATTCTGTAGTTCAAATGTCAAGTTTGTAAAGGCGCATGGGAATGGCTTCAGAAAGAAGTGGAACCCACCATGAAGGAACTGGGTCTACCAACTCTAGAGCAACTTGGTTATGACAAACCCGAATTGGCATTACTGGACCATGATGAGTAGTAGAAGCACTCTGTAATTTAGCCAAATACACATAGAACTATTCTGCCCACTAGAATTCCTGCTTATTCATGCTATAGAAAGTTGATGTGCAGTGCAGCTTATAATGGGGTCCTCTAAAGTACTTATTTCTCAGTCCGTCGACTTCATGAATACTACCACATATTCGTATAGTTAGGATAGTTGTAATTGTTCAGTGTCACGACTGACAATGAGTAAATATATTTGAAATCGTGGTATTGTTCTTTCATCCGATGTTTGTAATTGGTTTTCGCTACATATGTCGATTAGTTCAAAGACGATTATTTAGTGCCGCTTCGTTATAACGCTTTGAGAGACACAGTCACTTTAGCTGTGGCCGACTTAGCAATGTGGGTCAGACTTCCGTCTGTAGGGATGCAAACTTCGTTCATGTCATGCTTATGGCTTCATTTATGTACCATAAAAAACATTGTGATCATATGTGAGAGTGCTTACTTGTGATATGCATGCTCTTTATCCGTAAATAGTCGTGAAAACCCTTATCATTTATACCATGTGTGGAATTCTAGGTAATTAGCTTACTGAAGACTTTATTTTAAGTGAGTAGACAGGTAAGGTAGATCACTCGTTGTAGGCTTTTTTTAGAGGTTTAGAGAAATGAGCATTTACCTTTTTGTGGGAGGGGGGGGGGGGTAAAGTAAAAGTACTATCACTATTAGCAGCCCTTTGAATCTTTTAAATACCGCATTGAAGGATTTTATGATATTTTGAAATCACACATGGTATATGTATGTCTGACTTAAGCATCGGACTCACTGGTGAGTCGCGGTTTCAAATCGCTCCACTTACGTTGACCTGAGCAACTGTGTAGAGCAAGCAAATCTCACACAATAAATAGGGTTCACGGCCTGGTATTTGAGAATCCTGTCCTTCGTAACTGAGTTTAATGGGACTAATCATCTGTTTGCAATTCCATATTATAATATTAAGTTTACCTTTATGCTGGTAGCGTGTTCATACAGTATCTTCTTCCGTGTTATCTGCTGTATATTAGTTTGTAAAATTAATTTCCTGTATAGCACGAAGGGAAATTTAGTAGTTGTTGAAGGTTTCCATACGGACCTGATACCCACTAAAGCTTGCTATTAAGTAAAAATTATTCTAGTAATTCCTTTTAAGTATGCTCGTTTCCGGTATTTTGTGATTGTTTCACATAATTTTGATTGATTTAACATTGTGATACCTTTACAAAAAACAACTGGCAATTCATAACTGTCTTTGAAGTACATGCATCGCTTCACTCAACTAGTCCGAAAGCTTATGTTAAAGTTTATTAATCTTGGTTCTGTTTATTCCGATGATAGGTGGACTTAACAGTTTTCTCGAATCATTGGTGCCAGCGCACGACAGTAATCTAACTGACTGTGTTGACTTAAAGAATTTTTCGCATTGGTAGTTAGCAGGTGAACTAAAGGCAACTACTCTACTCATTTTGACGTTATGCTGGGCATATAAAAGATGAAATCGAAGTACTGTTTAGGGGGAAGTATTATCATAAGTAGGCATTTTTTTCGGTCAGTATTTTAACCGTCCTCCCTTTTTAGTTCGTGAGTTTGAAAATATACTTTCGATACGGTTTACAGTTTTCGCCTTCGTTGGTAGCTTTATTTGACTTGAAATGCAACTTTGGAAATGACTTTTGATGTCATGTACTATGCCAGCTTTATCTGACGTCATTTGGATTGTGTAATCACTCAGAACTCATCCAGATACTTCAATACAATGGTTAGTATTGTACGCACATCTGGGAAACTGACTTAGTAAGTGAATGGTAGTATTCATGTTACTAAACCTGGTAATCAACTACATACGTAGTGTAGAGACTCGGAGCACTACATGGGCGTAAAGATCTATAAGCAAAGCAGAATCTGAACATTTGACCAACTATTTAAGGGTGAAATGCCAAACTATGGGTCACAGTCACCAGCCCTCCTCAGATAGTATCACTAGTCTCCATACAATAGACATGGAACATTGCTAAGTGCATGGAAATGCAAGTGGTTGGTTGTCTTTTCCAGTGGTTAAAAATAAGCTAACAAATCTCTGCAAACGTATTCGAGCCTGGCTTCAATTTAGGCAATAAGTGGGACTGACAATATCATCAAAATATCTGAACATTTCACAGGCCATAGAGCTATCATCCAATTGTCTATCCTCCTTCTCGAGCATAGATGGGGTGTAGATATCAGTCATTAAAATCTCATTAACGGTAACGACACTGTTTTATGTATGATATGCCACAAACCAGAAAGTTTTCATAGTATACTTGCGGGCATTGTTGGGAATGATGTCCAGAGCTTGTCATTCGCAGTAATTGAGGCACCAGCCGTGCTTCCATCAGAAGCATGGAATACCTGTTTTGCGAAGCACGCAGTTTGGGGGCGAACTGTCACCACAGTTATTTTGCTATTACAAAATATTTAAACCACAACCGATTACCTATTTGACAAAGTAAATGGCTACGGCCTGTATAGGATAAGATGATACCATCATTTATCTCCCCAGCTTTCTTTCAGCTGCGTTTAATCCGAAAAGTTAATTAAGGATATGTATGTAGAATTTTACTATCGCATTTGAAAAAGTGACATGATGGCCGATAAGTGGAGAATCCAAAATTAATAAACATCGTTCAGAAATCACATTTATGCAGCGTATATACAGAATTTTCAAGTTTAAACAAAGCAAAACCGAGGAAATAATTATTGTTTGGATACAGTGGAAAATGGAATTGCATAATAAAAAGGTAGATCAGGTGAAAAATGTTTAGTAAGTCACATAACAGCTCGACTGAAATCACAGAAACAAAAAAGAAGCAAGATTACACTATAGCCAAAGGGAAAGGTGTTAAAGCCAAAGTTTATTTATTCAAATAAACGGAAGACTTAGGACTTAGAGTTACCAGGGCAAGAGAATACTGATAACGGCTTCTTACAAAACACTTGGACTTCTTGTGTATCAGTCATGTAAATGGGACTTCTGAGCATTGTTTATTAATTTCGGAGTCCAGTAAACTGACATGTCAACTTTCCAAGTACGATAGAAATTTCTGTGTACATTTACTTAGATAATTTTTTGGTTGTGTGCAGAAGAAGAGAAACCAAAGAAATAAATGATGGTGTCATTTCATTGCGCACAAACCTTGTTTGCGCCTTATTCAAATTTAAAAAGGAAAATGTGAGTATAAAGACTGTAAATGACATTTAAATTCGAACAGAAGTGTAACACTATGTTTCCTGTTGACTGGTATGAGTAGAGGTGGAAGCCACCATTAGATTTCATCGATCACACTGTGATGATTTAAACGACAAAAGTTGTTTTTCTCAGAGCTCATAAGAGTTCAAAGAGCCGAGACAGTTCAAACAGCTCGAATTTCAGCTTTTTTTGACTGAACTTGTTAGAAATAGTGTCCGCTGATTTATTCATCTCCATGGTGTTGAAACCAAATGTAGTCCTATCAACTTTGTTTAAATCGAGAAGTAAATAGTGTGGAGACCTTATTTTGATAATGCCAACTGGTCAACTAGATCATTACTGTGTCTGCGATCCGGTAACCATTTGAGGCTAAACTGTGACTCTGAAACAAGTAACTCGAAAGAACCAGGAGATTTTCTGGCTTGAATGAAGATTCAGGAGCCACAGCCCTCACTCTTTAATAACCTCTGGGAAATTAATGTGGCGCATCTTAGTACCAGAAAGAAAATAGTGATAATCATGGTTCCGAGTTCGCTGTTGTGTAAGTGTTTAAGAAAAGTTATCGTCTTTTGTGATGACAAACAGTATTGTTTAGGGATGTGCAAATTCACCATTTTTAACTCCTACTTTCAAACATGTTGTTTGAGTGATCGTCGTTCTTTACTGTCTCTCAGGGATTCATTGTCTATCCAGTGAATGTCCGCTTGATTTAGACTTTTCATGACATTGCTCCGTAAGGCAAAATAGGTTAAATGATTACTAGCAGCGAATTCTCCTGGGAACGCCAACTAGTAAATAATACTCTTCTGACTTATCATATGAGAGAAATAAACTAAAATAGATTTATGCTATACTACAGTGCCAAAGTTTTATACGTATTAATGATATATGGGTTGTTCCAAATGTCTCGAACCAAAATTTGACCAGTGGTAAATGATGATTGCTGTTCATGACTATCTAGGTTACCAGTTGACAGTCAGTTGGTAACATGTGCTGAAAATCCGTAACACGGGTAGTAAACTGGACACTAATGACTCACTTAGCACTTGCCAATTTTGGATCCTGGCGATGTGTTAATTAGGGGGAATAGAAAACGAGATTGCCATTTCATCAGTTCGATATATTTTGATCTACGTCTGTGAAACATAGGTGCCAGGGATGGCTAACATAGTGAGTTCGCAGACTTTGCTAGCTTGTTATGGAAGTGCAGAGTAAAAACTCCTAACTTACGCTGATTGAGATGAATAGAGCATATGCCGCAGATGAAGATGAATGATTTTTCTACGTTAGTCATGTTGGCTGAAGTAGGTAGACTAGAGGAAATTTATAAACGACTTAATCAAGATTCAACATTAATCTACATTTTTCTGATCTCAACATAGGACCACTCGTCAATTCAAAAGTTTGTTGACGAAATTTATTTTTTATATTATTCGTTTGTTTTTACGAGTTGATCACTGATTGATATCAGTTAGAAAAGCATTGAAAACCAGAGAGTACTGGACAGCTGTTTCATTCCAGTTCGGGAATCATCGGCAGTACACACCCACTGAGGTTCACACCCAGGACCTTCAGGTTACAAGGCAAGCTCGTATATCACTCAGCCACTGGGACCTGATTCAATGGCCAACTCGTGAATTCTAGCTTCTAATAATTCGTGAATTAGCATGACCACTAATGGTCCTCTAACTGATATCAATTAATGGTCAAACTCGTAAAGACAAATCTAGTCCTTACAGACTAACTTTTGAGAATAAGTTTTTATTATGCAAAGCGTAGAAACAGAAAAGAGGTAAAATTACATTGGAACTAAGTCGAGGTATATATATATATACATATAACCTCTTTAATAATTTTCATATAAGTAGATTAAGACCAAGGATGTAAGAGAGGTTGAATAAGTTTTTTCCATATCCAAGGCTCAGACGTTTTAGCTTTAATTGATAAAACAGTGTAGATGAGGTGGACCTGCGCTGATTTTTTGCCTTGTAGCTAGGTGACTTTAAAGAGAGAGGT